CGCTCTTCCTAAAGTATCAGCACTACCCTCTCCGCCAGATTATTCCCATCAGCATGGAAACATGCGGTATCATCTTCCCTCTTTAAAAGAAAAAACTCTCCCGACAGTACAAAGCCTTCCAACTACCATCCCAGTTCTCTGCTCTTCCTTTAGAGCAAAATTCCTTGAAAGATTTGGCTGTACTCTATCTCCACTTTCCTCCTATCTCCAGTCTGGCTTCTGCCACTATGCCCCAACCAGACCCTTGCAAGGCGGTGGTCAGATCTCTGCCCTCCTCAGAGCCTACCACTGAGCGGTGATAGACCCAGATGACCACTCCATCCCTCTGGAAATGCCTTCTTCTCCAGACTCCCACTCTCTCACCAGCTGGCTCCCTCCCTGAGTATTCGGCAGTCTCCTTCGCTGGCTATTCCTTGCTCTTGCTCCATTTTTTAAATATTTATTTATTTATTTATTAATTTTTGGCTGCGTTGGGTCTTCGTTGCTGCACGTGGGCTTTGTCTAGTTGCGGTGAGCGGGGGCTACTCTTCGTTGCCATGCGCAGCCTTCTCATTGCGGTGGCTTCTCTTATTGCGGAGCACAGGCTCTAGGTGCACGGGCTTCAGTAGTTGTGGCGCGTGGGCTTCAGTAGTTGTGGCTCACGGGCTCTAGGGCACAGGCTCAGTAGTTGTGGCGCATGGGCTTAGTTACCCCGCAGCATGTGGGATCTTCCCAGACCAGGGCTTGAACCTGTGTCCCCTGCATTGGCAGGCAGATTCTTAACCACTGCACCACCAGGGAAGTCCCTCCATTTCTAAGTGTGGTAGAGACCCAGTGATTTGTCCTCAGATGCCTTCCTGCTCTATATTCACTCTCCTAGATGTTATCCCCATTTTTTTTTTTTTGCGGTACGCGGGCCTCTCACTGTTGTGGCCTCTCCCATTGCGGAGCACAGGCCCCGGACGCGCAGGCCCAGCGGCCATGGCTCACGAGCCCAGCCTTTCTGTGGCATGTGGGACCCTCCCGGACCAGGGCACGAACCCGCGTCCCCTGCATCGGCAGGCGGACTCTCAACCACTGCGTCACCAGGGAAGCCCAATCCCCATTTTTTTCACATTTACATCTCCCATCCTGACGTCTCTGTCCTTCCTAACTCCAGATGTCCTCCTGGCATTTCTTCTTGGGTGTCTAGAACATGACCAAAGCAGAGCCTTAGGTTCTTCCTGTCTGCTCCTTCCCCAGTGTCACCACCTTGGTTAATGACACCACTTGTTGCTCAGGCCCCAAACCTAAAGCCTCTTTTTTTAAATAGAAGTAGAGTTGATTTACAATATTATATTAGTTTCAAGTGTACAACATAGTGGTTCAATATTTTTGTAGATTATACTCCCTAAAGGCTCTTTTGATTCCTCTTTTTCCAACCTACCATTCCACCAGGCAGACGATGACTGTATATTCACAGGTTGCTCAGTCAAATCAAAGAACCAGGAAGTGGCAGAGTTGGCAGATGTGGGGATGGCTGGGAGGGGAATGGGAGCCTCCCAGGTGTTCAGGGAAGCTTTGGGTTGTGTGCTGTGACTGAGAGCAAATGGGTGGAAGAAATCCGTGCTGATGTGGAAAAAGCCATGACCTGGGGTGAATCCAAGGACTCTAGAGTGTAAGAGCATCCTTGACCCCCACCCAAGATGCACACACATGCACATGTGCAAATACACACATACCCGCATGCACATACATGTGCACACTCATGCAAAGACACAGGCACACGCTCACACCTTCCCCAGTTTGACTCCAAATACTGTCCCATTTCTGCCTCTGCCCCCTTCATCCTCCTGATCCCCAGCCCACCCTGTCCCCATCCCCACTGTGGCTCTACTTACAGGTGGAGGAACAGGTCCCAGTGCTGCCTGGATCTCCACAGCCTTGTCCCTAAACAAGGGAGGAACTCCCAGGTGAGGGAGGGGCTCTGCTCAAGGCTTGCCCCTTGCACACTCCTTCTCTCAGCCCCCAGGACACTCAGGTCCACCGCCCCAGCTTACTTCCCCTGGCTTTCTAATCCCAGACGGGCTCCTCATACCCTCACATCCCCTGTGGGGACGTGGCTCTTGAAGAATAGGCCCATGGAACAAAGAATTCTGGTATTAGAGCTACTATACAGATGGGGAAATGGAGGCCCAGCGGGGCATGACTTGACCAAGTTCTACATCATATCAGGAGCTGTCGGGACTAGAATTCACCTCCCCTGTAGTTTAGCAGAAGAGCAGTCTTGTTGGGGTCAGGGAGTGGGGTGGGGGGCCATCAGAGGATGCCTTACCTTTCTTTGGGTGTGTTAGGTCTTGGCATAGATGGTGGGGAAGAGTGGGCCGTCTTTTCCTCCAGAGTTGCCGTGGGCATTAAGGACATTGCTTCCTGGAGACTGTCCTCATGTCCCCCTGAGCCAGGCTCTGGCAGAGCGCCCTGTGGCCTGATGGGTGGGGTGTCCACTTCCTTGGGAGGCTTGTTCCCCAGTTGCTGTCCACGGCTGCCCAAGGTGCAACAAGGCTCTGTTGGCTGCACTATGTCTGACTCATTGGCGGCCAGGTGACCTGGGAAGGGCTGACACTCTGGGTCCTGCCAAGGACAAGGACATCAAGATGGTGAGCCCCATCCTGGCTCTCAGGTGACCCTCAACACTCACCCAGAGACCAGCTGTCAAACCCTTACTCAAGCAAGCACTGCAAGCATTATCTTACTGAGTTCTCCCAGCACCCCTAGAACGTTGCCCACTTTCCGTCACTTTGAGGGATGAGGACATTGAGGCCCAGAGGAGGCAGGACCTGCCCAAAGTCATATCCAGGCTTCTCTGTGCAGGTAGAATGGGAGCCTGCAGAAAGTGAGATGATCCTCTTTAAACGGGATTTCCCAAGGGATGTTTCAAAGAACGAGAGTCCTTCACGGCACTCCCTACAAAGGGGATTTTTACACTAACTGATTTCAAGACTTTAGTAAGTTGCTATAGTCAAGACAGTGTGGTGTTGGAATAAGGATAGACAAATAGATGAATGAAACAAAGCAGAGAGACTCACACATATGTGGTCAAGTGATTTTCGACAAAGGTGCACACTCAGCAGAGAAAGGATAGTCTTCGACAAATGGTGCTGGGATGGTTGGACAGCCATATGCAAAAAATGAACCTCAATCCATCACTCAGATCATATGCAAAATATTAACTCAAGGTGGATCATAAACCTAAATGTTAAACCTAAAACAATAAAACTTAAAGAAAACATCGGAGAAAATCCTATGTGACTTCAGGTTGAGTAAAGATTTCCAAGAAATAAATACCAAAAGCACAGCCATAAAGAAAAAGCTGATCAATTAGACTTCATCAAAATTAAGAACTTCTGTTCTTTGAAAGTCACTGTTAAGAGAATGGAAAAGACAGCTCCCAGACTGGGAGAAAACATTTACAAATTAACATATATTATAAAGGACTTGTATTCAGAATATATAAGAACTCTCAAAACTCAAGAATAAAAAAACAACCCAGTTTTGTAAAAAAAAAAAAAAGGTCAGAAAGTGAAATGACAATCCATAGAATGGAAGAAAAAATTTGTAAATCGTAGATCTGATAACAGTCTCATATCCAGAATATATGAAGTGCTCTTACAACTCAACAATAGATTGACTAATTCAATTTAAACGATGGGCAAAGTATTTGAATAGACATTTCTCCAAAGATATACAAATGGCCCATAAGCGCATGAAAAGGTGCTTGGCGTGATGAGTCATTAGGAAAATGAAAATAAAGACCACAGTGAGATTCAACTATACACCTATTAGAATGCTTAGAATTAAAAACTGACCGTACCAAGTTTTGGGGAGGATGTGGAGCAAGTGGAATTCTCATACATTTGCTCATGGGAATGTAAAATGGCACAACCACCTTGGAGAAAAGTTTGGCAGTTTCTTAATAAGTTAAACATACAAGTACCATATGGCCCATTCTACTCCTAAGCATTTATTTGCCCAAGAGAAATGAAAGTACATGTACATACAGACATGAATGTTTCTGTAAGTCTTATTTGTAGTAGTCAAAAAGTTGAAACAAACCAAATGTCCATCAATAGATGAAAGAATGAAGAAACTGGTTTTTGTTTATTTCCACTGTACCGCAAAGTGATTCAGTTATACATATATAAACATTCCTTTTCATATTCTTTTCCTATATGGTTTATCACAAGATATTGAATATAGTTCCCTGTGCTATATAGTAGGACAAGAAATTTTGACATATCCATACAATGGAATATTACTCAGCAATAAAAAGAATAAAGCATTCATCCACACAATAACATAGCTGACTCTCAAAATAATCATGATAATTTAAAGAAGCCAGACTGAAAGAGTGGATACTGTATGCTTCTATTTATGGAAAAATTTGGGAAATACAAACAAAGTTATAGCGACAGAATGCAGATCAGTGGTTGCCTGAGGCTGGGGGTGAATGGGAAGAGAGATGACAAAAGGGCACAGAAAATTTTGGGGGGTGATAGATGTGTTTGTTTTCTTGATTGTGGTGATGGTTTCGTGGGTATACACATGTGTCCAAAACATCAAATTGTATACTTGAAGTATGCGCAAGTGTATGTCAATTATACCTCACTGAAGCTGTTTTTTTTTTTTAAAAAAAAAAACACAACTTAAATCTTAAAATAAAAATAAATTAAAAGATATTTTACAGTCAAATAAGTTTGGAAAAGGCACCATACTCTAACCACATCTTGCAGGGTCCCATAGTGCTCAGCAGCTAAGAAACAGATGCTAGAATATCCTAGCATTAAAAAAAAAAAAAATTGAGGGCTTCCCTGGTGGTGCAGTGGTTGAGAGTCCGCCTGCTGATGCAGGGGACACGGGTTCATGCCCCGGTCCAGGAAGATCCCACATGCCGTGGAGCGGCTGGGCCCATGAGCCATGGCCGCTGAGCCTGCGTGTCCAGAGCCTGTGCTCCGCAATGGGAGAGGCCACA